GCTGTTGTCATTACTCCCCCCAGTCTGGGCCTGAGGGGAGCGGTCGGGAGGGCTCTGAGCCGCCCGCACCGGCCGAGGCACAGCCGAGGGCACCGGCCCAGGCACCGCCATTTGTGTCTCCTCAGCGCGGGCGGAGCCGCGGCCCCAAGATGGCGGAGGCACCGCCCCGTGCCGGCCTCCAGCCGCCGGCTCCTCCCTCCGTCCCGGCAGGAGCCGCGGCGGCAGTGATGGCGTCGGGGTGCAGGATCGGGCCGTCCATCCTCAACAGCGACCTGGCGGCCCTGGGCGCTGAGTGCAGCCGCATGTTGGACTGCGGGGCCGACTACCTGCATCTGGATGTAATGGACGGGTAACGCCGGGGGCGGGCGGGACGGGACGGGGGTGCGGGGGGCGGGCAGGTCCGCCCGCCCCACCCGGCCGCCCGGGGTAACCTGCGGGCGGGCGCGTCTCTCTCTTCGGCCCCAAGACACTTCGTCCCGAACATCACCTTCGGCCACCCCGTCGTGGAGAGCCTGCGCAAGCAGCTGGGCCAGGAGCCCTTCTTCGGTAAGGGCCGGGGGCTGCGGGGCGCTGCCCGTCTGGCAGCGGGACGCGGCCCCAGCTCCCCGCTCGCTCCCCCTTCCAGACATGCACATGATGGTGGCCAGGCCGGAGCAGTGGGTTAAGCCCATGGCAGTCGCGGGCGCGAACCAGTACACCTTCCATCTAGAGGCGACGGACAATCCCGGGGCACTGATAAAGGACATTCGGGAGAATGGCATGAAGGTGAGGGGAGCACAGTCTGCGCTCGGCATAATGAGCGGCCACCTTGCTGGCAGGTTCTCTGGTGACCGGTGACTGTGTGTCTGGGGAGGTTTCTTCGTCCAGAGTGGGGGTGGTTGGGCAGTGGAATAGGCTCTCCGGGGAAGTGGTCACGGCCCCAAGCCTGCCAGAGCTCAAGGAGCACTTGGACAGTACTCTCAGGCATATGTGGGACTGGTGGGGCTGTCCTGTGCAGGGCCAGTATTTGGACTCGATGATACATGTGGGTCCCTTCCAGCTCAGGATACTCTGATTCCATGGTTCTATGAAAAACTAGTTGTTGCCATTTCCAGGTGGTCAGACATTGGCACTTGCAGCCCTAACGCTCAGTGCATTAAGTCAGTCTTCTGTTTCAGTGACGAGAATCGGAAATCTTTACCTAAAACAGCTTGTTCTTCCAGAGCTTAGACAGATGCACAGTTACTTTTCTACGAGTCTGTACTGAGCTCAGGCCAGCCTTGCCATCATCCTAAGGTGCACTTGGATTTTTCTTACCTCCCCACAGGTTGGTTTGGCCATCAAGCCTGGCACTACAGTTGAACACTTGGCACCGTGGGCCAATCAGATAGACATGGCTTTGGTGATGACAGTAGAACCTGGGTTTGGAGGGCAAAAGTTTATGGAAGACATGATGCCAAAGGTAAACTACGTTTCTCTTTCCTTATTTATTGAGCTAACAGTATGGAGTGTAGTGGTGAAGTAAATAAATCTTGTCTAGATGTGTAAGAAACTACGAGATGGTGGTGGCTCAGTGTGGATCTCAGTGCCCACCTTTTTATATGGTTCCTTTTTACATGGTTCCTCAGGTTCAGTGGCTGAGGACACAGTTTCCCTCCTTGGATATAGAAGTGGATGGAGGAGTAGGGCCTGACACCATCCATAAGTGTGCAGAGGTAAGAGGTCGCAGCAGGGTACCATTCTTAGTCACTATGCTAAGACACTTGATCAGCTCCCAGAAAATAAAGCTTAGGAGGAATTTTGAATGTTAAGTTTTCAGAGGGAACACACTTAGACAACTAATATCAAAATCTACCTGAGGTCTAATCTTGTGCCTTTTCTTACTAGTGGTTACTGAAGCCTCCCCTAAGCTAGAGAAGTTGTTTGTTTCTTGTATGTTCAGGTAAATAGAAGCAATGATGAATAAAGAGGAGGGAAGAGCTGTCTTTTCTAAACCTAATTGGCACTGTAGTTAGAGGTATGTCCCCAGTGTCCCATAAGTAGCACTTGTTTGCCACCAGCCCAGAATTCATTGCCTCCTTAAGTGCTTTACAGCAGGAAAACTGTAAGCGGAGGGTCTCTTCCACTGAATGGGCGTCCCATGTCTTTCAGGCGGGTGCCAATATGATTGTGTCTGGCAGTGCTATTATGAAGAGCGCAGACCCGAGGTCTGTGATCAATCTCCTCAGGAATGTGTGTTCAGAAGCAGCTCAGAAGCGCAGTCTGGATCGATGAGACCTGCCCAAGGTGTGTTCAAGAAGGCTCCAGGCATGCAGGAGAACCCTTGTTTCTCGTGTGCAAGGGAGGGCTGGATGAACACTAATCACAGGAACTTGTTGCTGCTGAACAGAGGAGTCATTCCTTCACTGCGATGATGTAAGCAGCAGTGGGAAACGTTCTGCCTGTCTTTCAGGGCTGGAAATGCAATGGTTTGAGCCTGTCTCTTGATTCTGTGGAGGCTAATTTTATAGCACAAGCTCTAATGCTGACTGGATTGACTTACAGTCAGTTTTTTGCTTGCTAGAAGAGCGTAGCATTGCCACAAGCAATCTGTCTTGTGGAAGACTCTTGATCAAACTGCCTTCTGCCGTGTCTGTATTTTGTCATTTGATCTGTGCATTCCTACAAAACTTTTCCACTACTGCATTAAAGGCCTCTTCCTTGGTGTGGTAAGTCTCCTTTAAGCTGACTGTCACAAATGACTGGGTTTGGGTCTATAATAATATAATAATATATAATGGCCCGTCTTCGCGAGCGAAGATCCGGAGAAGGTCTTTCCACCTTCCAGCCTGCGCATTGGATTTTTTAGGTGAGACACAGTGTGCGCGGAACTGAGCCCACCCTTTAATCCTAAGGTTCATCTGCCGGGGCCAAGCGAGCTTGGACGGTGGCAGCGAGGTCCTTAGGACGTAGATGGGTTGCCTTTAAGGGCTAACGAGCCCCACCTGCCCGGGAGGGTTTGGGTCTAAGTTTGGGGGAAATGCAGTCTTAAGAGTCTTTAAAAAAATCCCACTAATGATAGAAATATCCCTGTGCTTTGCTTTTATCAAACAAGTCAGTGTAGCATCTTTACCAGGTCACAAAGTGGGGAATATCTTCTCATTTAGCTTTCAAATAGCCAGTTAGGACAACAGTGTCTGAAGTTCCAGAAAGCAATGAGTTTCCATGGAAGAACATTGCTTTAAAACTCTTCAGATAGCTAAAAATCTTGCCCCACAGCTTCCTTGGTTTATGTGCCTGAATTAAAGTGGTGACCTACAGGATTAGTACTGCTGAAGTGGTATGTAGGTTGAAACACCTGGAGATGGCTCCGTAAAAAAGCTTGTGGAACAACACAGTTCTCAGTCCTTCAGCTGGCTGTGCCCACTTCACAGACTGGCCTGTCTGGGCACATGAAATGAGAGCTGCAACACACTAGAGGAAGACCTGAGCAGGCCATTTTTGGATAGACCTGTCTCCCATGGCTCCAGTTAGGATTGTTGAGTCTTTAATATTTTGTGGTATTCTGATAGGTATTTTTCCTTTAAAGTTGTAAGTACAGAGGGGTCTCAAACAGTCTGCTGCCCTAGGGGCCCAGGCCAGGAGGCTCCCAAAGTCAGGTGTGTGTTGTCCTCGTAGCAAAGCTGGGCAGGTGTCACCTGGCAGCTGCTGAGGGCAGTGCTGGAGCTGGTACACCCCTTCTCCTGACCCCAGTGCCTGCAAGGTGCCCCACAGCACCCTAAGGACGAGTGAGGGCTAGTTCAAACAGTCTAGACAAGTGTCTCAAATGGCTGAAGCGCAGCTTTTTCCGGTGTGGTTAATTGTGGCTTAGGTGAACAAATGTTGCTTCCTGTTCCCACTTGCAACCCCATTTGGGAACTATAATAGTTGTCTGGACCTACTGCACTGAGTGATCTTTCAGAAGAGGCTTGCCAAAAGCAGGCTTGGCTAGGAAAGGCAAGTCCGAGGCCTGTTGGGTGTGTAAGAGCAGTTTAGCGGAGCTTCTGGAAAGAACTAGCATTGAGTTTAATGTACATGCATGAACAGTCACAGCTTTGGTAGGTAAAGTGCAGGCTGAGCAGCCACCAGCTATGAAAATGCTAGTTCAGGATGTGGAGTCTCGCTTTTTCAGCTTTTCATGCTATTGAAAGCAGCAGAACAACAGCTGTAGTATCCTGGCCTCCTGCAGTTGAGTGCAAACTGGATTGAAAGGGTAATCAAAGTATTTCTGCTTTTTAGCCTAAATAATTTGGGGGGAACATCCAAGTTGTGCTAGTTAATTGATGGTACTAGGCTTTGTGGAACCTTGTGATACGCTCTCACAGGTTGTAGCCACGTCTTTGTCATTGTTTTAAAGCTGGCAGTTTGCACTTGCATTGACTCTCAGGTTAGGAGTCTTGTGGGAGAGACATTCCACACACAGAGAGTATAATTATTTAATTGCTTCTTTCTAAGTCCCACCCAGAGGGGTTTATGCAGCTGGCTCCTGTTGCAGCAGTTTTTACACATCTGAGGTTAAAGTTGTTAGTGACAACATTCATGGAATTACAGCAATGAACAATTCTTGAGTGTCCTTTAATTCTTAAATCTGTTTCAAGTTTCTTTCCTCTGTATACTTACAGAAGTAATCTGTTAGGGTCTGTTCAGGTCAGGCCTGCCTCAGGAGGGCCCACAGCCCCAGAGACTGGAACTGAGTGCCGACATGGAAACCCAGCGAGCTGCCTGCATGGTCTCCCTGGGGCCAAATAAACCCCAGGCCCATTAGGGTGCAGTGCTCTGGTACGGTTTCAGAAACAAGGGAGAGCACAGCCAGGCTGGTGTCTAGAGCACTCCACATGGTCTAGAGCACTCCAGGGGGATCTGACAGCACAGGTCTGTCTGTCCTGAAAACAGGATGAAAGCAACTCTTGACAGCGCCAAGTCAGGCTGGGCTTGGACACGTGCTGCACAGGGTGGTACAGCCCACAGCCCTGAGCAAGATAAAACACTGCAGGAGACACACACACTGGGCTTAATTTTAATAGGGTTAAGAAGTCTGTATTTGTACTTACATTCCATTAAGGTCCTGGATGCAGAGATGAAGCGTTTAAACCCTCATAGCAGCAGGGAGCAGAACATAAGTGGCCTTAAAAAAAAAATCTCAATTGTACACGGTAAATTAAGCACATGGAATGCCTTTGTGCACCCCTACTTTCTTGCCTGGGGGGCCTCCCTGCATTATGTTTAAGCTGGTGTTTCACAGTCAGCCTCTGTAATACCTTCAGTCAGAGCACTGGGAGCAGCACTGACAGCTGTTCTGATAGCTTAAACAGGCTGGGTTTTGTTTCTGGGTTTTTTTTCTGTTTAAAACTTTGAAAAGGAAAGAAAACAAGAAGGGGGTTCTTACACATTTTGTGGCTTCAGGGATGAGCCTGAGCTCTCAGCCTGTTCCCACCATCAGCAGCTTCCTCACAACACCAGCATTCAGGTAAAACTGAGCTGTCTGGAGGCAGGAGTCCCAGTTCTGCTTGGAAAAGGGCTGCAGGCAATGAAAATGAAGAGAGGCTGGTCCTGGGACCAGGTTGAGTTAAGAAAGTTTTCTAACCCTGTCCCAGTAGTGAAATGGGGCTACTGAAAAATTAGATGCCTCGCTGAATTTGCTCCTGGCTTTAGCAGAGACACAGTGGAGACAGAGAGGGCAGGGCATAGGTCTGCTGCAAGGTGGCAGATGAGTAGAGGTACCACAGGTTAGGAGCACAGCCCAAGGCCTCCCAAAAATGTATCTCGCTTGCCATGCGCACACAGCATTGCCCACTTCCCCTGCCAGATGGTGGGATCTTCAGGTGGGAAGTGATGGGGGAAAGCAAATACAGACTGTTCCTTTGCCAGCACATGCATGTGCCGCACACCTGATGGCAGAGCCCTGCATGCCACCACTGTGTGGGGCAGGCCTGTGGTGGCACCATGGGCAGGAGGAACGGCTCTGGCACTGTGCTCTGGTTGTGCAATCTCTCAGGCAGCCACAGTTTGCTGTCACAGGCCTAGCCAGCTGACTGCTGTACTGGGCAAGGTACCCAGCAGCTGCTTTAGCCCTCACTTGGAATGACCCAACAGCCACACGATGGTTTGGCAGCCAGGATCTGAACTGCCAATGCAAGGACACTCTACATTTCCCCAGGCTGACCAAGCGCAAATCCAGCTCCTATTGTATGAGCGATTTTGCCTCTTTTTTGCCTCCTTTTAAACAACTTTAAACTGACTCCTTCCCGTAACATACTGGATTGCATTTCCATTTCCTGGCAGCACCTTCGGGACACGGAAGGCAGCTGGCTGGCTGGTTTACTTGGTCTGTCCCATTTCTTGAAGTGCAGGAACTCCTCCTGTTGCCTCAGGGATCAGACAGCACAGGAAGCCCTGACCTTACAACAAAGCTGGTCCGATAATGAATGGATAAAGGTATGGAAAAAACTTGCAAAGCATCTGAGGCACACACCTTTCAGAAACCTTCTCCCAGCAGCAGATGCTCATGCAGGCAAGAGAGGGCAACATCCACCTCTGTACTGAGGTGCTGAGGGGACCCTTTAGCCCCAAAGCGCCAGCACAGCCTCAGTACTACAGCAAAGCTACAGTGGGTTTGCAAAGCCATCTGTGGGCCAAGCAGGGCTCTGTGCCAAGAGGAAGCACTGCTACTGCTACTTCACTTCTAAAAAGCCATGAAATTCAGACTATATACAACATATATAGAAATAACTTTTAATTAAAAAAAACAACCTTGCATCAAAGATTATTGTATCAGACATTGAGGCAAGATTCAAGTTTAAGACAAACCAGTGTTAAAAAAGTGTTTAAAAAAATAATCAGAATGTGCAATAAACTACAATGTAGCAATAGGTTGTAGCGTTGAAACTTTACTGAACTGTTTTCAGATGCCCAGTGTATATTTGCTGTCATTTTGACCAAAGAAAAAACAAAAACCTGACACTAAAACTGGGTCATCTGTCCAGTGCCATTCCAGATATTACACGTGGAATAAAACTGCATAAAAACACAGACTCCTATTAAACTGCCTTCAACTGTCCTACACAGAAAAACATCCTGTTGATGGATTATACCTACATTCAATGTTTAATCTTTGTTAATACCTCTTGGGATTGCAGATACATTCCAAACTATGCTATTTAGATGCAAGTTTAAACAGCTTGCCTTTGTTTCCTCACTGTGAGTGTGCTGGGAAATTAAAGATTTATCCAGAATCACAGTGAAAAGCTTTGGGGCTTTTTTTTTTTTATTGGTCTTCTAGACATCAATCATCTTTTCCTTTCCAGCTAGTCACCAAATGTTGGCATACTTATGAGACTCTTAAAAGGCACTATACAAAATTAGAACAAGACTTTAAACATATTAAAGCAAAGTATTATGAGCCTCATTAGCTATTGAAGGACAAAGGAAGTAAGATGACCCAAACCACAGTATTCCAAGGGCTGCATCACTGATTTGACTCAACACCTCTTTCCTCCTCTCTCTCCCTCCCCACATGCCCAAAGCAGAGACCCTACCTTCTGAATAGCAGATATATTGACTATGGAAACAGTGAGCTATTTCTACCTTATTGCTTGAGGAGATCGATATGAAACATGCGCTGTCACTACTGAGAGCTGAGTACAGATTTTAAGCCAGATGCAAAACTTCCACATCACCTGCTTTGAACTGCTGGTTCTCACCGACCATTACCTTACACATGCAGTTAGAGAGACAGGTTTTTGCCCCATGGTCATACCACAGAGGAAAATAATCTGAGGCTATCTCTTATCCCCTCTATTTTCAAGTAGTTTTTCTGTGTTCAATTTAAGTTGTTGGCTAAGGTAGGCAGCATCTCCTGCTGCACCAGAGTCCACTAGAACCAGAAATGCATTTGAAAACAAACAAAACAGAAAAGGATGATTATTGACAAATGTGACAATATGACAACAGACAGTGAATGGTGCCAGCAATTTATGGGTGCCCACTCGCGACACTGGGCATATTAGACTTCCAGCTTGAAATAATTACTTTCTCTTGGGGTTCAGGAAGAAGAAAGTGTTGTCTTTGGAATTTATCCTGCCTGTTACAAAGCAAGAAAGAAAATATATTATATGCAGCTAACGCAAAGGTTTTGAATTGTGCTGTCATATGCTGTGCGAATGAAAGAGATTTTACCTTACACTTTTCTCCACCTTAATTGGCTTTCTTAATGAACCACATTATTCCCTGTCACCTTTGTTTACTTGTGCTGTTACTTCCCAGGCAAATGTTTTTGCAGTCTTCTGACTCTTGGCTAGATTGTTTCCTTGGTGGATGGCCATTGTCTGGCAAAGCAGTGGGTGTGCCCAGAGCACAGGGAGAGTTGCTGGGGAAATCTGCACTTGACATTTCAGCCTCATTTGTTACTCGATCTTGGCACAGTAAAGCTTCTACCTCTTCATCTTTTAGTGGAAAAACTCGAAGTTCCCACTGCCCAGCCTGAAAGGAAGCAGAAGTGTAGGAGTGAGGATGGAAAAAGAGGAAAAGAGGGTAAAAGGGGATTTTAGTGGAGTCTGAACTGATTAGCTCTGTGCAGAATGATCTGCTATCAAGTTACCAATGAGTGTCTCTCTTTACAATGTTTGCAGGGCTCTTCAGATAAAGAATACAACACTGCTAGGCACCAGCTGGCAACGTAAGCTGGCTACATAAGGTTTTGAACTAGTAACAGAGCTACTGTTGAACAGGCATAGTACAGGAAGGGGGAAGCTCCTTTCCACAGTGCCAGACCCATCAGGATACCTGACCCTGTAACCATCAGGCCTGTCTGGAACCCTCACCAACATCCCTGAAAAAAGGATCCAGTCTAAACCCAGGCCAGCCATATTTGCCTCAAAACCATATGCCCTGTGTAATAAGCAATGCAATTATTACCTGTTGAGAGATCTTGGGGTTAATTTAAAAAGCACAGCCAATCTAGTTCTACAGAGCAGCACTGTGTTCAGTGCACATAAAATGGGGTGACAGCCTGAGATTCCGATCGGTGAGACAGTATGTTCAGGTTCTTTATTTTAGGGTAGAGAGAGTCATCACTGACCTGCCCAGAGCTGGAAGCTATTGGAAGCACCCACCTTTGCTTCCTGGCCCTCCCTGCAGAGTGGTGCCGTCCCTGAACAAACAGAGCTGTGGGCTTCCAAAGTCGGGTTGGGAGCAGGCTCAGCAGCACACTGGTCTTGGCTGTGTCGGCCATCGGCATTTTTGCTGTAAGATCTAGTGCAGGATAAGAAACGAGTCTTAAGAACTACTCCCTGTCCTTTCACATTGCCAGGAACAGTTCAGGTTTTCTTTTCAAATTGTTCAATTTCTCCATACATGCTACCTACTGCTTGTTTAAATCAAAAGAGCAGATGAAAACATATGTGGTTCTTGACAACCCTCTTGTCCGGAGCCAGAGCGGAGCACTATGTGGAGGAGCTAAGTGGACAAAACAGGGCTGGGACAGGCACACCCTGTCTGCAGACAGCTGGTGGCTGGTCCCAGTCCTGTGCCTTGCTCCACACGCTCACCAGAACGGTGATTTTGGACAAGAGAAGTCAGTGAGCCATGGGCTGTTTCCACTTGGGAGAATGTGGCATCACGCGCAGGAGCCTGCAGAGTCCAAACTGCACTGTCAGCAGACTGAGCCAATGCAACTTGAGAGGCAGCAGCAGGTCCTTGGGCTCCCCCTTCCCACCTCTGGTCTGGACTCAGCTCCAAAGCAATCAAGAATTAAATAGGATTAAAAATTTTGACCTCGCCTTTAATACAAATTTGTACTAGATATAAAACAGTGGCACGCATCTGAAATGCCAGGTGCAAGCCTGACCTTGCTCACGTCAATTGAGCAGTTTTACTTCTGAATTCAAGTAGCACTAAGATTTCACCGAGGAGTTCATAGTTTCAAAATTAAGGTACATACAGAACTTTTTATTTTTCAATACACTTTATAAAGTTGGGGGGGGTTTATGTTCAAAATTTCTTAAAACAGAATTCCTTAATATGGTTTAGCTCTACTTTTCTCCTGCATTAAAAAATGTATCTGCATATTTATTCCTAGTGTCATGGTTCACTTTCATCCAAGAGTAGACACAAGCGTATGACAAAAAGCATAAAAAGTTATCTCAGCATTTATAGGATGCTTCAGATTCTGAAGTGATTTATGGGAATCATTTTCCCAGCACAAAACTGCAGATACAGCTTTATGATGTTCACTCTGATATACACTACTTTTTGAAAGACTTTTAGTGGTTTATTTAATACTGTTGAGTTCTGCACCAGATGGCAAACCTGAGAGAATGAACCATTCACACAATGACTTTTTACAGCGTAAGTTCCTGGGCACAATCCAGGACCCTTCAGTAACGTGTCTGAACGCAGTGGACTTTCATCTGAGACAGGTGAGTGAAGAAGGGCTCATGTTACTCTTGCGTGGTTGAAGTCATAATAACAGGGAGTGGTACCAGCTAGCAGAGCTCTGTCTTCAGTGAAGGAGTAAGATATTTGTTCACTAATACCAGGACTCTGACATGCCGAAATTCTTAAAGTATGCATGTCTCAGCACTGCCTTCCCTTTCCAGCCACAAAGCCAAACATACCTGGTACTGTCCCTGATGAGTTAAGTAATGAAGAGTGCCCTCGTTTTCAAACTTCTCTGACACTGTTGCACTAACAACCCAGACCAGGTTCAATAGCAAGGCTCTTATCAAAGCCTTGCTGTACACCTGCCTGCTGTTCCTCCTGGGCCAGCGGCTCTGCTCCCACAGCGACCATCTCGCGCGCTCTCTTTCTTCATACTTTGCATGACGCAAGGAGAAAGCTTCGTCGGACAGATCTTCTGCCTGTAACGAGACACCGGGAGAGCTGCTGCAGTCATCATAAACATCACTAGAAACTGGCCAGCCAGTATTATATATAACTCTGCAAAGGTCTGCTCACCAAGTAAGAGGACAGCAACACAATGCATGCTTGCACTATAAAGGCACACCCAAAAACATGTGTTCAGCTCAGGAGAGCTCTGGCATATGGGATGCTGTCACTTTCACCTTTATTTCTTTACATGTCTGAGGTTAATCTGAATGGATATAGAAATTATACCTCCCCATGGAACTAACACATTTTTCTCTATGGTGAGAGGTAGAAAATTAAGAGGACGTATTCATTTGCAAACCAAGGCAGTGTTAAAAGCACATAATAAAGACAAGCAAAAATTCCAGGAGTTTCCAGAGACTGCTTCAGCAGGAGGCTGGGAGGCAGCAGGATTTGCCAGGTGCTCTTTAAGCACTGAGATCACCAAGGACTTTGATAACTCCACAGAGAGGAACTCAGCAAACCTGAGGTGCCGCATTCCTGCTAAGAAACCAAGCAGAAAATGGCTCCTGCTTTGAAGAGGCTTTCTTAGCCAATGGTTTGCATGACCCCAGTATAGCTTAAACCGTCCCTAACACAAGTACTTCACCTGCTCGTAGTGAAACAAGAGTCTGCTTTTTAGGTAAAATATGCAGTCATTGCGCCAGACCTTCACTGCCACCTTTGTTTCTCTGCTGGCAGTACACCAGGAAGTCTGTTCCTGAGCCAGGGCTGGAGCACTTTGCTGCCCTTCTGCCCTTCCCCCTCAATCCCCTGATAGAAAGGCAAGCTCTTGGCTGGACCCCTTCAGCACAGCTCACAGTTATTTCAAAGTGCTCCAAACCATTCAAAATTCAGTTAAAAAGCTGAGGTTGGCAAGAGCATACGATTGCTGCAGCCATGGACTTTATCTCAGCCACTCCCAACTCAAAAGCAGAGAAAGTCTAGGAAAGAACAATTCCTGTTCATAGGAGCTGTAAAGCTGCATGGCCAAATCAGTCCTGGACAAGAATTATACTAAAAAGTGGGAGACCATGGAAAATAAACTGATTTTTTTTTTCTTTAAAGGAAAAATCCACAGTGCTCTTAATACAAATAGCACTATTTATCTTCTGATTGAGCCTGACAAAACACAGAACCGAATGCACAGTCCTCGCTGCAGTGCCAGGTAGTGCCACACAGGACAGGTGACACTGGCAGCTGGAATGCTCCCCCCTGCACAGCTATGGGGGCCCAGAGGTAGCTCACTGCCCTTGTGGGTACAACAGCAAAGCATTACAATGAATGAAAAGCGTCCCAAAGGCTTCAGTGCAATCGGAATCGGCCTCAGGACCTGCTGGTAAAACTGGCTACCCAGTTCCTCCTCAGCACTCAACAGGAAGCTTCAGACAAACAGGCCTGCTTTGTTTGGCCATCTCATGATGCCTTGCTGAAGGCTCCTCATTGCTTTTATTTATTTATGTTAAGCACAAACCACTTTGTTAGCTGCTGGTTTCCTTTCATGCAAGTCAACTTAGTGGGTTTCCTCTTCTGTCTGGAATTCACCAGCTCTGTCACTTGGATGGTATCAGAACTGGGCTGCATCGCAGTTCACGTTCTGTCTTTCCAAGGTCAGTGATGTATAGCGTGAAAGTGAGAATTTTACGAACTACAAAAGTGTTATTCCCTGAGGGAAAATTCAGGATTTTTCTGTGTGCTCAGATTTCCTTTGAAGTGGAAACAAAAGATAATTTTAAAAGAAAAACCTAAGACTTGGAAAATAATTTTCTTTACAAATTGTCAAAATTTTTCATCCTGGGAGGAGACTTCATTTTTAACAAGTTTCCTTTCAAAAATCCAAGTCCATATTCCTTTTTAAGTGAAGAGTTTTGAAAAATACAGAAATAAACCTTACTGTTCCTTTTCATAGCTAGTGATAGCAGATTTAACTACTTGTTTATTTAAAAAGAGTTCCACACTATTCCATTGAAGACTACATTTTCTTTTTTAAAATTTTTTCTTTATTCTATGGATAAAGATCTCATGACATCAGAGTAAAAGGTCTCTGCTTGGTTCAGTACAGCCTCTGCCCCTCCCCAGCTTTGTAATGCTTTATGTACTTCCTCTACCACCTTTAGGTTAATTAAAAGTTGCTGTAACAGGAGAAATTTGGGATATTTTTCCCCACTGAGGTTAGTTTGAAAAAGGAAAAAAGTGCCATTCCTCAATGGATGGACCTGGCAGTGATGTTGAGAGAAAAGGCTATGGGGAAGGCCTGTTTGTAAGAGACGTCTAACGATTTCAGTCAAAGAAAAAGACTTAAAGCATGGCACTACAAACACTGTGCATTAATGTTGAATAGCACCAGGAATATTTCTAAAATATTCTGTTCTCAAAACAACAAAATCTGTGTTTCACTCTTTGGCTCCCCAGGAAACACTGAGTCATAGGCCACGAAAACACTTACGCAAAGCTAACTGCACACAGAATTATTCCAAAGTATTTGTCATTACTCAAACAACTACAAAATAAACTTGAATGTTACAACTATGCCTTGCCAGAATTTTAACCTGAATAAAACAAATTAAAACCAAAATAAAACAGGAAAACTTGTGCCACACCCTCCCATGCCTTAAAGTAAATTCACACATGCAAACCAGGAAATTCAAATGCTCTATTTCCAGAAACTTAAGTATTTTTAGAGCAAGTAATAGAGCATACATAGATAGTATACTGATTAACTTTTGCATTGCCACTTTGTCCTTGTAAGCCAAAATTTCCAGAAACAAAAATGCACCCAAAAAAGGTAAACTTTTTGTACTCAAATAAAGGCATGGTGAATAGGCTTAATTCCCAGAAAGTGCTCAGTTTCCATCCTTGGAAGTGTGGCTCCTGTGGAACATGACAAATTTTTTTGTAACTCATGGAAACTGAGTGCAAGTCTATTGCACGGATGGGGGTTGTTGCACTGAAAGCCTTTAAACAAAGAAGAGAGAGAAGAGAAAGGAGAAGAAAAAAGAAATTATCTAGTGGCACAAATCCCTGACTGCTGCTTGACACAAAGACAACTCCAGAAGTTTTCAATTTAGCTAGGCAGAAAATAGCCAGAAAATAAACTATTATATAGTACCACCACAGGCTACTATGCAGTAAAATAAAGAAAAAGAGTATTTTATGTAAAAGCAGAAAGTAGATTTTGCCTTCCCTTTTCCTGCATGAATGACCTACTTCAGCATAAGGAGCAGTTTCAAGCGTGTCAAGAGCGTGAGTGCAGAAAATGCAAACAGGTAATGGTGCTGTTTCCTCACATCTTTTCACAAGCTTACGTGGTAACAAATGTAACTTGGCTCAAAGCAAAAGCAAAGGAAGTGGAGGAATTATGCTCAATCACCTTTTCTCAGTACTCTGAAAAACATCCAGACCAATTAACATGATCCCAAAAGAAAGGGGAAATTGGCCATAAAAGATCTTTAGCATTTTTCTCTTGTCCCTTCTAAATCTACCCAGTAGCACAAACAACACAGATACAGTGGGCCACAGCAGGAGGCAAAGCTGCTTCATTGTTAACTCAAGTTATTTCCTGGCCAGAGGATGAATCATACTAGATCCACCAGTGATGTCAAACACAAATACAGTGGGAGGGTTACTAAATAAGTGATTGGCCCATGAGCTTCAGAGAGACATCATGAAGTCCCTTCAGCAAAATACACTTAAAGCACAAGACAAGTCATCTCTGTGGGATATGAAAGCTAAACAAGAAACCCACTGACTCCTCCAAGCAAGTCCCTGGAAGCCCTGAAGGCAAATTGGTGTTGAAATTCTTCCATCCCTCATTCTGCCAGATACCAGGACAAGGAGAGAGTAATGAACAGTAGATGCTCAAGGGAAAGGGTGCCCTTGCTGCCTTATTAGTTATTCTCCAAATGGTTTAATTAAATATCCTTGCAGGAGAGTTCTCCTGTGCATGTAACTTGACCAGTACAAAGGAAGATCAGGCATGTTTCCTGCTGGCTGAGGAGGTATCAGTCCAAAAGTCAGTGGGTGGAAGTGACATAAATCTGACCACCAGATTTCACAAGAATTTCTCAACTGCATTGGAAAAGGTGGGGACAGAGTAAGCTTTTATCTTCCTTTCAACCAAAGAGCATGATGCCAAACAAGGGCAACTATACCAGGTAAGGAACTGAGACCATGATGCTCTCCTAGAGGTTCATTTCCAGGGAGCAGGGAGCTACAGATCTAGTAAAACTCTCACAAAGCTACTACCTTTGTGCAGAGTGTATTTTCTACCCCAACTGTAGAGATTCTCTGAAATAGGAGCTCAAGAACAGATATTGTGGATGAAAGCACAAATAAAAGTCCTACAGTTACAACTGGTGATAGTGGCAGAGACTGGAGGGAGATTAGAGATGTCCAAAGGACAGCAAAACTGGCAGGTTTCTGGAAAAGGAGCCACAAAAAGACTGGAAGGACAGAAAACCAGCCTAGAGACCAGACCTGCTGGTATGGTCAACCTGAGGTTATGAAATGCCTCAAACCCCTGATTAGTGAAGGAAAGAAAGGGACCCCCACCTTCAAAGTCCATGGACATTCTCTGAAGAAAAAGTAGATTCTTATGCCCAGAGGAAGCAACAGTAGCACATGATGTGCAAACTTAGCTCAAGAGGCAGACGGGAAATACTGAAGGTTATGTTGTGCCTGACAAAGCAGAAAAGTTACTTCCCAACAGGAGGGTTGTAGGAAAACAAACACTGAGAAGAAAACTGAAAAAACTTGCTGGACCTGTAGGCAGGATGCCTAATTACCATCTGAAGAGCAACATGCCATGGGAACTGGCCACGGAGGGAGAGGATGAGAGCAAAGAACAGCATTATAGCACAGGCAGCCCCGAGGAGACAGCATTACATCGGGTGAGCCAGAATGACAGTGCTCAGGAGCAGGGAAGGCAGAGGCTGGACCTAAGGGACCCTTTGGGACTGCTAACTGGGCAGCAGCAAGGGACAGGCAAATTTTCGCCATCTGATACTTAATACTTTATTTCTGAAACTTGAAACTTACTGGGATTTGCATAAAGTCAGTGATTTTGCAAAGTATGTACCAATTATCCCAATTATATATTATATCTAGCTTAAACAAAAACTGATGGTTTAATTAAAATACAGCCTACCTCTTCTTCATCTGTATGTGATTTTTCTAAAGGTTGAAGTTCAACAACTCTCCAGCTAGAAATGAAACAAGGAAAATCAAATTAATTCACCTAAATGTTGTTTCATTATTTCAGCAGTAGAAATGACTCTTTTGTTTCTACAATATTGTTAGTTAATCCTTCTGCACCACTGCTTGTGCTTCAGAATTTCCTTCAAATAAAATAATTTCACAAATTTAAGGTGCTGATAAAAGATGCCTGAAATTTAAATTTTCCTTTCACAACTCAGTATCTAACCTTTCCTTTTCCCAACACAGTCTTTAAGCTATCCAACAGAGTCTTAATGATATTTTTAGCTTTAAAGGCAATATAAAAGCAAATACATATTAGAGATTTAAAATACAGAACAAGTGCATTTAGCCAATTTCAGGCAATTTGCTAGGAAGTCACTGAATTATAGCACAGGAGATCAATTACCCTATGTTCTTTTTCTGAAACAAACAAACAAAATGTCTCTAGAATAAGGGTTTATAGGCTTACACTGTATGGAAAAAAATAAGCTTATTTTACTGTACCAGAATGTCTGAATTTAAAAAATATATTCTAAATCCATTTGGTTTAATTCACTGAAAATAGCAAACTATTTTCTTATGAACACACAAAAAAGGCATCAATCTCCAAATAACCATTCAGAGTTGGTCAGCCTTATGGCCATGAATATCACTACAATTAAGATGATACAAACCTGCTTCTATTTTTAGCCAGTCTGTGCATCTGCCACCTCCCTGTGTATATCAGACTACTTCCTGTGTGCTACCAGCTGTCCAGTCTTCCCACCACTTCAGTCACACAAACTGAAGTGCACAGATAAAAAAAAACCTCAAGTGCGTGAAAAGATCCTCCTAATATTATAACATTTTCCAACTCCACGCTCCACGTCTAATTATATTTTTGTTAACATTCTCACATTCGTTTTGCTATCTATGCAATTAAGGAGGTCGTGAGCAAACCTTGGAGTAAGGATTTCTTTGTACTGTAGTTTCTCCAACTTCGATGGTGCCACCAGCGACATGGGAATAACAATGTTGTCTATATCATAGGAGCTCTCACTTCTCAACCTCCTCCTGGAGTTATGCTGAATAATACAATCAATACAAGAGGAGATGTGTCAGCTCAAATCACAGGGAGTACACATTAGCTGAGAAACATTAAAACTTCACAAGGAGAAAGTCTGTAACTTGAACACATTTTTTTGTGGCTTAATGACTTCCAACATCTCCTCCCTTCAATGGAATCTTAATAAATCTTAAAACTGTCTCATTTCTGAGGTTTACTTCTTGCTGGTGTAACTTCTACTGAAATCAGCATGAGTTTCTCTTCCTTGTTCAGGTACAGTTAATTCTGAATACTTAGAAGAACTGAAGTTAATGCCACCTTTTTCACAGTGTTCACTCAAAGATGATCTTCTATCATCTACTAACCTGTAACCCAAGTAGTTCTTCAGTGTGATATAATTAAGAATTCCAAAAGAGAGAGAAAATTTAGTTTTAAATTGTGATACATTCCATATTATAAGTTCCCAATTTTTAACTGAACTTTAACGGAAACAGAGTATCCTAAAATGCTCATTTAGGTGTTCTTTGATGATGGTCAGCTCAAGGGAAAAAAAGGAGGAGTATGACTTGTCAAAATTATGTAGGGGACACACATTTAAACTCCATTCTGCATTAAAACATAATGAGCACCACCTCATATAGAGCACCAGCATACCACTAAGCTTAGCAAAAACATGGAATCAAAATCTGAGTATTATTGTGAAATTCACCATGAATACCAATAAAACAGAGTGGGCTTCTGCAGGGACTTCACTGAACCAGAGCTCTGCTGTTCCTCATCAAATTCATATACCAGAGACTTTGCCTACAGTTCTGCACAAAATGTTTTAAATGGTGAAACTGAGAGTTAATAAATTTTGTGACTGTATTTGCACTATGAGGCCATTTTATGTAGTTGCACCAAGATAAAAGGGTCGTAAGAGCCCTGGTGCAAAACTGGGAACATAAATCACAGTGTATTTAATGAAATTTGGAAAAAAAAAGAAAAAGAAAAGGCAAAATGCCAATAAACCAAACTTACACTCCAGTTGTATGATCTGCAGAACTCTTTTACAAGTAAGTATCTGTTTTATAAACACCACACACTCAATCTGGAATCCATTAGTTAATGGATTTGCTGTAAAAATGCTCAGTACTGTAATTTAACAGTGAAGTAGCTGTAAAAGGTGTGTGGTTTTGGATTATCAATTTGCACAGTTCTTTTGATGTTTCAGTTGAGACAGTGGTATGTTTTTGGTTTACCTGTGAAGAAGTGTTGTGAGCGGGCCGAGACATGGCACTGACATTGGCTGCAGCAGCAAAACTGCTGTGGGATTCTGGTTCTGCATGTTGAAAGGAGAACGTCTCAAACCGAGCACTACTCTCGCCTGTCACAAAAAATAGCAATAAAAAGATACATATCGGCTGTTGTCCATAAAACTGCAGAGTTTTTCCATACAGTAATTGTAAAGTCATTTCTAGAACCCCACAGTGAACCACTCATAATTTACTGGATACTAAAAAAAGCCATCTAAATAAACACTTGCTGCTCATCCTTTCATTGTTGTTCCACAAAACTCATCCCTCTCCTTCTACAAAGGATTTCTTCTCATGAAACCACCTTCACATGGGCAAATCCTGATTAGTTTTTCAGGAGCTGCCATAAACACACAACAAACATAATCAGACTTAGAGGAATGCTTTCCCCTGTTCCCCAGCAGCAATTCCCTAGTTGGGGTGTCTCTCACCAGTTCTCTGAGCCCTTACTGACAGTTTCTTCCTTAATAAATGATAAAATTGGCAGCAAGGGTAACAAACAAAATCAGTTTAGATTTCCAAACCAATAGTGGTTTCTTTTAGTTGTGGTCCACTGCTCCAGACAAATTGCAATTATTGTTTACTGCCATTCAGTCCCACTGCAAGCAGCATTTAGGGAGATTCAGAATTTAACCACCTGTTCTGCTTTCCTTCTGCCTTAATTTACATTAAGAAAGGAGAACTCAAATTTAATATACCAACTAATAAAAAGAATCAGTGTATTCCAACATGGAAAAAGAGGCTGATTCTAAAGATTATTTCATATGCTGGGTCAAGGCCATGAACTCTCATCTCCCAGGCAGCTCTGCAACTCCCTGACACACAGCTTTTATTTTCTGCCTTGTTCATTAGGCTGATCTTCCCCATGGATAATTTCTCCTATACAGAGCCCAAATTAGGAATAAATATGTAGTACTACACCCATAGCACTAATAAGCTACAACTTGCGCTGCTATTCGGGAATACATCACAGAACAGTTTTCTGTCATTGGGAAACTATGATCCTTGTGATAACAGATAGCTTTTTTTGTTCCATTACCTAAAAAACCTAAATACTGTTGGTAGAAGATTAACTGTAACTTCAAAAGGTTTACAGCGAGAAGTCTGCACTCTTATTAGAGCTCCCAAGTACCTCCAGTTCTTGATCTGAGTAACTGTCCTGTAACTTTCTCATGAACTGGGTGGGTTTGGTTTGGGGTTTTGTATTGTGGGTTTGGGTGGGTTTTTTTAATCATAGATCGTAATTTTTGATTAAATCATCTCTGCAGAAGTTCCCATATCTCCACCTCATACTACAAGATTACACTAGAAGTTTTACCTGGATATGCATCAGAAGTTTATTTTTTTGCAATGCTAGCTGATCATTTATATCTTTTAATCCTTTTTTTAGGGGGAATTTTAAACTAATATAGTTTCTTCTCTTGCTCAGTGATTTATTTTCTTCAAATGTCTTGTGAGCAATTTTGCCAAAAGTTTTCCAAAAGTCCCATAAATGAATCAATAACAAGGTCTGTTACACTTTACATTCTAACAGGCTGGAGAGGGTAAGATGCCATTTATCCTTACAATGGTATACTGGATTTCTTATCTTTAAATGATCACATTATTCTACAGAACTTTCAGGGCACTTCCTATTAATTTACAAAGTGCTGAAGTAAAGATTCAATGGCTATCCATTATCAATGGAATGATAACAGGAGTGAAAACACAATAAGCACTAGCTATCCACAAGTCCTCTTAACAATCTGGAAGGAATCCAGAACCAGAAATGACAGTACACAACAAATGAAACAGTGGACCAAACATGCATAGTAGCAAAACACAGTAAATGTTTTGTTGGGTGCACGATTTGACAGATAACTTTGCAATTCAGTCTGTTTCACTGACTACTATTAAAAAAATCCCTTTCATAGTAAGAATAAGCCAGTATTAGAAAAACACAGTTGGATTGCTAAGCAGTTTCCTTTAAGAGTGCTCAAAAATAAAATACAGAAATTTGTCCTTTTGTAATATATACTCAAGAAGAAAGAGGATTACTATGCTTTAAAATAGCAAATTGTTTTCACGGTGTCCCAAGTTTCGTAACAGTATCTCTTCTGGAGAGAACTTAAAATTAATTCTCAAAGCCCAGTGGTTACAAACGCACTTATACAGTACATATTTTAAAAGTAGTGTCTTCTTGCACTTCTCTTACCTACTGCTGTCTCACTTAAATGTCTTTTCTTTCTTCCTTCTGACAGCTGATCGGATGTTCCTGACACCAACTGAGATTTGGAATTAGATAAACAGCCACTGCTCCATTGTTTGACAGAAACATGATGCTGATTATAGTCTACAACAAAAAAAGCATGTATCAAATTGAAAACTTATTTTCCATTGACACAGTTTACAGGAAATCTCAACTGCTAAACTATTTATAATGGAAAAAACCCCAAAAAAACATATGATAGCAATCCAAATATTAAACAGTCAGGCATCTGGCCCAAACTCCCCCACTTGGTGCTAGTACCCTCCTACTGCTCTGGTGGGATCATATCAGAGCAACAAATGACAATGTGACACTGATCTGGGAGGAGATTCCTCTTCCATCTAAAGCCTTTAGTCAGCTACCTTCTCTGATGACCTGCTTTGTGCTAAATTTATGAAATTAACCTCTTCATGGAACAAATTACTGACAAATGAACAGAAAATGGTCTTGCCTATAGTAAAATATTTTGCTTTACATACCACTGTCAGAGGATACTTTAAACTCCCCTCCCAAAGATGAGGTATCAACAGGTTCTCCTTTGATGTCATCCTTCCTTAATAATGTTTCAAAGTATATGTGAAGAGGAATATCTAAAAAACCAAAAATCCAAATGGAAGAGGGTCAGTATTAGAAAGATGGCAACCTCTGAGCCCATGTATCATGGCTAAAGGTCTAGAAATTCATTCACTCAACACAACCTATGAATGACACTGTAGAGTATTGAGTGAGAGTGACAGGGCTCTTCCCCTCTTGCTGAACTCCTGCACAAAACCCAGCACAGCAGAGAGCATACAGAGCACTTTTCCTGAAATCTGCAGAGGCTTCAGTTCAGCCTTTTGGGTACAAGTCATCAGTCATTAATGCTTTTGGAAATTGTTACTGCCAGGAGCCCAGAGGTAATTTCAAGGTACATTCCTTCTCTCTCTCCCTGAAAAGGCTACAGCAGGGCAAGGCAATTCATTTCCTGATGGAAGCTCTAACCCAGAATTAGCCTGCAAAAAAACATCTCAAATGATAAGGAGTTTACCCCCTGTTGTAAGGCAGGAAGGCTTAAGAAAAATAAGTCTCTCTGAAAAGCCTTTCTGGGAAAAAAAATTTACAGGAACGAAGATAAATTAAATAGGAGGAAAAAAAGTCAATGTAAGAAGCCAGTTTGACAGGTAGTATATTCAGAATGAGAAGAGGACCAAGGGCAGCATCCAAGGGTGAGCATTAAATTACTTATATATATTTACACACAACCTTAGCCTCATGTGCCTTCAGGGTGTGCCAGGACAGAAACTTTCAACATATTTTGCTAAAAAGAACAATTTATTTCAATTTGATATGGATCTAACGAGGTATTCTGCCATAACACCTCAAGGATCTTGCTGTGTTTCCTATTCTACTTCCGAGTAAAACATAAAGAAGGTCTGAAGGGTGTACAATTAAATAAAGAATTAACCAAAATATTTCTCCTGTTTTAGATTGGGTTTTTTTTGGTGTGGTCTTTTTTTACCTGAGGAACAACCTGGATGTCTCAGAGATTTTTTTATTTTATGCTCCTGTATCTTAATCAAAAGGGCAGGAGTGCTTGTCTCAGTTTATCCACAGGCTAGGTGCAGAAATACCAGAAGCCCAAACTTCTTAAATACAAACTACAATTCTCCAGTTATCAAGGTGCAAGTTTAAACAGGTGCTTTTGTGTCCAAGGGATGCTGCAACCACTAATGTATTTTTGGGCAAGATCCTTGGTCATTTGGAAACTGTGAAGGCAAGACTTAGACCTATGGGCAGCTCTACTTCCAGAAGTGAGCCAGTCCCACTACCCTATTTGCTAGGTTGCCTGCAAATTATGATTCACCTTTGAAAGCAAAACACAAGAAAAAACAAGGTGATAGAACTACATCTGAATCTTGAATCCCTCTCTGCACACTAAAAAGTCAAACTCCCAGAGTTCCAAAACAAAGGCCAATAATACATTTTTAGCACACAGAGAAAATTAAAACAAAACCTTTTCCCTTTACTCTGTTGGCATTTTGGGGGGGGAGTGTTTATACACAAAGATATGGGCAGAGCACAAGCAGTATTTTAAGAGAAGTTATTACTCTGGAAGGGGATAACCAAGAAAGCTGCAAAGAAAACATGAAACTGAATCAGGCTACAACTTGGAAAATTTTTACCATGCATTTATTTACAATAATTCTTTCACATGAAAGAAAATGACAGACTAGTGGTCTTCATGAGGAGGTAGAGACAGCAAAATACACAAAGCACTGAGTAAAGCATGAATCTGGAAACAGGATTTTCTTCAACAACAAAATCACACAAAAACTCAACAGGATGAATCACTTCTGCTGATAACGGCATTTATTATTCCATTTTGAAGTCCCAACTGCTGTCAAGTTGCACCTGCACTAACTTCACAGCTGAGTCACAGACATCATCTGCATTACTGTCCAAAAAGACTAAAGAATGAGATGACAGAAACCACAAACTTTGAAGATCACCAAAAAGGCCGATTATCATAAAAACAATTAGAAAACCTAAATAAAGTTTTTTAAAACTAGTCCAGAGAGCCTGAACAGAAAGTTGCTTACGAAAACAAGACAATGAAGGTATGGTAATGTGTTGGTAACAGCATCATCTCTAAAGGACTAACACTGACTCAATTAGACACACCACGAAACAACCAAACCCACCTTTTTCCTGGCCAGTCTTTCTAGGCTGTAAGAGCATTGCTGGTACAGGAAATATAGGTGGTGTGCTTTTCAAAAGTTAGGATGAAGTTAAGGTTTTTGGTCTAAACTCATATATTTTGACAGTGTGAGGTTTTCTGTTAAGAGAGCTAAGTTCTAAAAATCACTCAAAAGACAAGTTAGTCCATAACCTCTACAGCTGCCACAAGCACAACCACCCTGTTGCAGTCATGGCGTTACTTACCAGATGGGAATGATAAGACTGGATGGAAGGAAGCGTCCAGCTCTTGCACATAATCTAGGATTTTAGATTCTGTGCTGTACTCACTGCTGGTCAAAGTGGAGGCTGGCACCACACTTGGCAACTGAGTTTTATATGGAAAGGAGGCATCTCTACATGGCAAAGTCTGTAAGAATACATAGAAACAAAGCTTAACTTCTCCTTTACTCATGTACTTCAAATTAGACCAGAAGAGGAAAAAACCCCAACAAACCAACAACTCAGTCAGTGACACAGTTTAACATGTGAATGGGAGAAGTATTCCTACAAACTTCAGACAGTCTTATTGTGACTTACCTCCACTTATCATGGACCACGGTGCACAATACACAGAATACAAAACCCCCTTCAATTAGGGCCAGGAAATAGCTGTCAAAGCTTTCAGAGAAAATGTAACTGTTTCTAATCGTTGTTTTGATCTATCCTATGACAAATCAATACCCTTTAAAATTTAATTCCAGCAAACAGGCAAGACAGAGAACACAAACAAACCTAGCACCAGACTAAATAAAGGGGTGTCCTTCGTTTATCCCCTCAGTCAGATTTTTACTATCAATATCTCTAGACAGTTCAAGCTCATATATTTTAATGCAAGCAACTATATTAAACATTTTAAGCACAACATGTACTTACACAAAACAAGAGGGCAAAGTTATAATTTAAACATCAGGTAAGCAACATAAACAGAAGAAGACACAGCAAAAAATACGGAGAGGGACACAATGAGGATCAATTAATAGGCAGTAAGGGGAATTACTAGAAAGAGGAGAACTGCAAAGAAAGATTAATTTAGCTGCTTATTTGCAAGGCTTGTTTAAGTATGGAAGATAAAATGATGGGTGGCACAAAACTGGGAGGTAGGAGATAGTAGGACTGAGGCAAAAGGTGAAAATGGGCAGGAATAAGCATGAGAGTACAGGCCATATACTGAGCTCTGAAAGACAGAAGGAAAGAACTGAATTTGATGCTACAAGAAAGCAGCAGAGTCTGTGCTTCAGAATATGCTACAGAAGTCCTGAAGGGAAATAACACTGCTGATGGTACTTTAAGTCTTACTGGATAGTAGTGGTAGTAACCCCAAAGTTACTGACATTTTAAGGGTTTCTACAGGGCTTTGATACTTTGCCAAATGTTGCAGATCCTACAAATAGCAAGGGAAAGAAGTGGGTACTTCTCAGCCTACCACTGTGAAAACAGTCACATTTACCATCTCCTGGAAAAGAGTTCCAGTGCAAAAACTGTGAGAATGAATATAACATTTTCTCATGACTTTTTATAGAAGGAGACACCTAGTAGCTGCATCAAAGGCAAGACCACCAATGAACATGACTTATACTTCTAGTACTGCTGCTTTCCGAATCCGAGAAACCTCTTCAACTGCTTCCTCCTGCCTGAAATATTCCAGGTTGTTTTCTAGCAGTGCCACTCACGTGTTAGTGATGCAGTGATTATATCTACCATATAAAATCCCCCTCCACTTACTGAAATCAGTCCTTCTGTCAGATGGCATCTGTATTCACAAACAACCCACACTATCTCAGAAAATATTCCACTAAAAAGTTCCCCTTTCCATCTCTTCCCTTCTTCTCAATCAACAATTTCCCTACACTGTTACTGGATCTCAGAAACTATAAAAATCAAGCAAGGATGTTGTGATGCTGTGATGGTGGTGGGGTTCTTGTATTTAACTTTTTTTCCCCCTACAGGAGGACATTAACAGACCTAAATCCACTCTGATATCCATACACAGGTAGTGCTTTCAACTTAACCTGGAAAGAATTCTCTTCTAGCCCAGGACTCCTTCAAATCAGTGTTGTGTTATTCTGTGTTATTCTCCTGTGATGAACATATGGGACTCTTCATCTGTTAAACTTTAAACATCCATAAAGTGCTGGCAGAACTGGGACCTGTGTTTGGAAACACTAGAAGGATAAATGCTAAAGCGAGTTTAATGTTTCTCATTATATGGACCATTAAACTCAAGCTTAAAGAGCTTTTAGGTAGTTATCTACCTCGATGCACTAAGGGTTTGCTTTTCAAAGATGCACAAAAGCATATTTCCTCTTGATATTTGGTTTTTAGAAATGAAGTAGCTTCCTGAAGCTCCACTATTTAAGCTGCAACTGCACCACTTCTGCTTGTCCTTTTACAGAAATGAATCCACATAACAGTAAATAAATCTCTCATTCTTTAAAAAGAAATCCCTGAATACTAATTAATAAAATTACCTAGAAAATGTATAGATAAGACTAACACACTGTGACATCCAGTCCTATAGTCCTGACTCACTTGTTTTTGCTTTAGTTCACATTAGCCACAAACACATTTAGATTATAGCTTAAAACTCAGCCTGCTCAAAAACGTGCAGAGATGGTCAAACAACCTCCAGAGTCACAATCTATTTTGAAACTGTATTAAAATCCATCTGCCGATTTTGGTAAATGCAAAGTTCTTTTCTTCAACTTGCCTGTGGTGGGAATTACAAAACCTCATCTGTGAATTTGTGCATTAGTGCCTCGAATGCTCTGGCATCAACACCTAAGTAATGAAATCTTTCATTAAGCTAGTTTGTAATCCAAAAGAAAAGAAGGACTTCTACAGAAGCAAGAGCAATTTTATTTAAATGCCTGTGAGGTTATTAGAAAAAAAAGTAAAAAACCTGGCAGTGTCTGTGTTCCTAGCTACCGGATCTGGTTTAAATTTCTGATGGAGAAGTTTTCCACTGGAAAAAACTGAATTAGTGATGTTTGTCAGGAATGGCAATTTAATCAACTCTTGATGAAAAAATTGTAGAAGGCCTTTGCTCTGGAATTAAAGTGTGTCATTCAAAGAAAGTGCTTCAACCTTACTGAAACAAAACTGAAGATCTGTTTATTGGAAAGCTAAACTCTCCCTTCCAATTCCAAGTACAACACAGTCTGCAACACAGCTGCCTTTTACAGCAGTAAATTATTGATTCTTTAACACAACAACAAAAAAATCCAGCACACTCCAACTGAAAACAAACCCACAAATATATCCATTCATCAACAGCAGTGATAAGGAGTTTCAGGAAAACCATGGCACACAGCTTCTACAAGACAGGCCCTTGTAGCAAACCTGACCACAACATCAGCTCTTCAGAAAGCAAGATTACTAAACTCTTATCAAATTTCCTGCTGCTCTATTATATCTTGTACATCTTCTGGAACATTCTTCTTTACTACAGAAATACAAAATCTCCTGCTTCCTAAGATCAAGCAGATATGAATTATAATATTACATTAAATTCATTCTATTAAGGAAAAAAGCATATCATATTTAAGAGGAAATCAGGAATGTGCAAGCTTTAAATATTCAACTAAAATAGCAGTTCTGGTTTAAACTTCATAAGGAATGGTGTCAATCAACAGAATTTAGTTTTCTAGAATATCATGAATTCTAAACTTGGATTTTTTTTTCCCCTCATTGTGCTGTTTTACTGAGTTACAGAAAATACAGGAAGCAAATAATTTTGATATTCAAAACAATTCTTGTATTTGCTTGTGATAAACTGATGCACTAGACTAAGTACAACTGGCTCATGCCTCTGCTATAGAAGGGTCAGAAAGCTGAACACTACTGGCCACCCGACCTTCTGCAGAGAAAAAAGTGTGAGTCTATGAAGTGTGCCATAATTGAAAAGAAAGATGTTTTTTTGCTCCCTTCTAAAAATTCTGAAGTAAATACTCATTTTATGGTTTCAGCTACTGATCACTAAAACTCCTACCATTTCTGGAGACATGCCTAAGTGTAACAGTACACAGATACAGTTCAATTATGCTTCTGTGTATGAATCCAGTAAGTTAATTAAGTTTGCACAAATACACCCTGCTGAATACCTGTCATGTCTGCTACTGATTATTCTTATTAATCCCAAAAAGGCAAGGAAAATGCATTTATTCTACCTACAAACACACTCTTTCAGCAATATCAAAGAAAAGCTATCCCCCTCAACATCAAAAACCGTTCCTGCAGAGATTTAACTATGGGATCCAAGAGAACCACTGTGTGGGTGGGTCACGACTCTTTAAATATCAAACACGCCAAATTTTAATCCTATTACCTCTTTGCTTCAATGCTTCAGCATCTGCCTTAAAGGTCAGCCCACTGTTCCACAGCCTTCATCTTCTGCGCTCAACAACCTGCTCTGAGCAGAGCTATGACCCTCTGGCAGAACACACAGTTCCATGAAACCTCTTGAATCACAAAACAAACGTGCAGGACTTCAGTGCAGAGTGCTGTTGGGCAACACACAATACATGGACAGTGAAAGCTTAATTTGAAAGCCTCAAAGACCTTCTCTCTTATCAACATGTAGTGGGAGAGAAGGTGGGCAAAACATCTAAGACATCCTTACATGGGAACACGCACAACAGCTGGTGCTGACACGTGCACATCCTACAACAGACTATCCCTTCAGATGAGGTTTCTACAGATGTCAGATGGACAGACCTCTCCCACGCAGGTCAGATACAGGGAAGCAAGCTGCCCTGAGATGTAAACAAATTCACCTACCTCTGGTCCCTCTGAAGCTGTCAATAAGGATAAAGTGGTAGATCCTATGGTAGAAACCAGTTTTTCCAGGCAGAGAACAGAGACTTCCATAAAACACTAATGACAACTTACTCAGCATCCAGTTTGCCTCAAATTCAGACTTTTGGACAGTGTCCTAAAAGGAGTTACAGCTTCCACCGTTCTCAGAGACCACTCACCTCTCCTAAATATACGTGGAGTTTAGTTTCTTTAATTCTGCTACAAGCCAGTGGGAGACTTTCACCTGCTTTGTAGGAAGTGCATGCTGTCCTCTACATCCTGAAACAAAGACCTTTAGTTCAACTAGCCAATAAATTGAAAAAATCAAGGCTAATGCTTAATCTTTGACCAGTTTAACTAAAAGAAGGAAAGACATGTTAATCCACAGGGTTATCTTTTCAAAAATGCCACGTAGAATTTAAGAGTTGATGTGATCAGTAAAGCACTACAGAACAGTCATAATTAGCTAGAGTAGGACTGTGGAAAGAACACAGGTTTTTCATTCTGAAAAAAAAGAATTCACAGGCTGACTGGCCTGCCACAAACCTCACAAAGGATGGATCTAGTTCCATT